GCAGAGAGGAGGATGGTAATGTGTTCTAAAACATTAGTATTCAGGAAAGTAATGAGATACAGTTCCCAGATTTACCTCACAAAGATACTGTAGGATCTTCTTTGATAATCAGGGCTGGAAGATCAGAAATGGAACAACTACACTGTAAGGAATGTTGCCTGTTGGAAGCACTTCATCCCAGCTGACTCTTTTGAAGAGTTGAAGGCTGTATCTTTTGACAGGCTGAGAAAGAAGCTTTCTTTTGTCTTTGCAAAGTTGTGCCTAGTGCATTTCAAATTCCCAAGCATTTGGCAGATTTTCACTGTCTTATATTAGCTGCTAAACAAAGAATTCCTCCTGGTGAAGATTTTTTTAATATGACTCTGTAACCAAGACTACTCAGTTGCTAATTGAGGGGGTACAGCAGTCAAAATAGGATGATGCTTCAGCTGCCTGTATCATCCCACTTGTTATTGCTATTTGGGTGTTGGTCGAGATTTCTGCTTTTTCTGTGTGCTTAAACCCAGATGAGAGGTTACAAGTTCACTTGTCCATGTTCCAGGAGGTATCAATTTGTTGGACTATGCCCACCTCAGAGAAAATCACCACCAGCTGGTGGGTGACCAGGCAGCTCCTTCCACACTCCATTTTCCAGGACCCTGATGAGCAGGATTTGACAAATAGGTATGGGACAGATATTTCACTGGTTGCCTCAGCTGATGGTTGTGATACATCATTTCACCCCAGAAGCTGACAAGGCAAAGTGGATCTCTCCACATCCTTCAAGAGAGCACGCCACAAGATTTCTACTGGTCAGATCAGCCACACAGATGGAGAAGTCTGATCCTCTGGAGTGGACAGGTTCCCTGCTCACAGATCCACTCATCCTGGCATTGCTGCAGCCCCTGCATGTGGAAGCAGACCTCAGCCAGCCTTCTTGCCTGGGGTACAGCATTGCCAGAGCAAGTCTTGGGGAGCTGCTTCTTAGGCACCAACACATTTCTTCTCAGCATCTGTGACCTGAGAGGGTTGAAGGCTTGTAGGTGGGGGTATATCTGGTAAAAAAAATTAAAAATACTCCTTATGCTAGCAAGAGTCCCAAATTTAAGTCTACATTCCAAACCAGAGCTTTTCAGCACACAGTGCTAGGAACTCTTCAATATTGGCAGTGCTGGGGCTTGTGCTCTGAAATACTCTAAAAAAGTCATACTAATGTGACATTTTGTGACACAGGGTCTTGTGCGTGAATCAGAGCTGACACCTAGATAGATAACGCCAGCTTCCAGGAAAGCTGCAAATACTTGGAAAGGAGGGCCTCCTGCTGCCAAATTTTTCAGACAATGTTTGCATTTTTTATCATTGCAGTTCCCCTTCTGGTTCCTGGCCATGCACTTGTCCTGCTAGAGTATAAATACTAAGCAGAAACCTCCCCAGGACTATCCCCCCATAACCCTCATCACTGTGGTGCTGGTCTTGTGCTAGATTCTGCCCTAACAGCTCAGCCCGGTGCTTGTGTCCTTCTCCCCGCTGAGGTCTCTGTTCTGAAAAGGTGTTGGAGAGAAGATGTTGGACCAGGGGCAGCAGCAAGGCCACAAACTGGGAGTGTGTCCTGGGAGGGCTCTGTGGAAGGCTGGCAGTTTTGGTGCGGGCTCCCTGCCAGTGTGCAGCATGATAACAACAGGAAGAACTGCACAGAGTTCAGTGATGACCTTAAGTTTCTCTGCTCCTGGAAACTCTCTTTGTGGACAATAACGTGTACATCAAAGGATTAAAGTATTGCGGGCTCCCTGCCAGTGTGCAGCATGATAACAACAGGAAGAACTGCACTGAAGAGTTCAGTGATGACCTTGAGTTTCTCTGCTCCTGGAAACTCCCTTTGTGGACAATAATGTGTACATCAAAGGATTAAAGTATTGGACTCAGTACGTGACTGTGGGCACATCCTCTCATTCCTCTTCTCCTCTCTCATGCTGGTTTTGAAGAGGCAATTAAAACCCAGTGACTTCTGTCACAGGTGGTGCGGAGGTCAATAGCATCTGACCCGTGTGACTCCATACAAGAAGTGCCACTTGGTTCAGTGGCAGCAACCCAGCTCTCTTGTGGTTGCCACAGAGACAAAGTCTGAGAAGCCTTCACTCCTTTATTTCCCTAGAAGATCCCAGGATGGCTTTGAGGCACGCCTAGCTGATGCCCATGCGATCTGGAGAGCTCATGGATCCTCTCAGATGAGCATGGGAAGGTCAGACCCATGAGGTGTGGGCACCAAAGAGCTGTGCATTGATGAGGTTCCTGGGCTCCTGAGTTGTAACTCCAGTTGGAAAGCCATCTATGATAATTTTGAATTAGCTGACTTCCATCTGGCAGCAAGTCAGAAAGGTTCAGCTGCAGTGGGTGAATTCCTTGTTCCTGTCACTTTGCCTCAGTAGACTGATGTGGAAGGGTGGAAGGTGAGAAATGACTAGCAGAGCAGCTGGGGTAACACATGGCATTTTGTGTGCACTTTGTTTTCCACATCAGGCCCGTTATTTGTATTCTGCTCACATGATGATAAAGGCTGAGCCTCACCTGGGTGGCAGAAGATGGAAGTTACCTTGGAAACAACAGGAACACCTTCATTGCTTCTAGACAGCTTCCCCCTGGCTGCAGGCTTTGTACACACCAGCAGCCAGCTGGTCTCCTTTTCCCAAAGTTGCTATTTTTCCATTGTGCCTTTTCTCCCTCGATGGGACCCGGGCACTTTGATTTACCATCTCCTGGTGCTGTGGGGCATCAGATGGGGAGTGCTGCACTGGGAAGCAGCAGTAGGAGTTTGGCTTCCTCGATTTCACACAGCTCAGATTTCCCCTAGGTCATGGCAACCCTTCACTGCCCTGACAGCATAGGTACAAAGCAGCTGAACAGAAAAGAGGGGACTCTAAGCAGTGGAGAGGATCATCAGGCTTCCATGGCCTCAGTGCCAATGGCATGTGAGGCCCTGCAGAGCAGATACATTACCCTCTTGTGGGTCATGGGGAAACATCTAGAGGTATTTATAGTGAGATTATGGGTATAAGGCTCATTAAGGGATGTGGTGGGGAAAAACACTTTTGGGATCTACAGTTTATTTTGGGATGTTTTCCAAGGGTCATGGGAATGTAAAAGACTTAGTTTAGGATGTTTGGGATGGATTAAAAGTGGGGAAAGGAAGGAATTGAGGTAGATTGGAAAGGAGCAAGCGTGGCAAAAAAAGAGTATAAAAAGGGCAGGTCAGTGTGCCTGAGTCCTGCCCGCACTTGATCACTCCAATCTGTTCTGTATTCTCATTAAAACCTATTTTTGTCTGGTTTAAACCAGAGTGTTCTTTCTGGTCTGAGTGGGTGTGTGTGAGCACAGCCAACGTGATGCTGGTCTGGTTGGCGAGCAGCAGAGGAGGGCTGAGTGCTGCAGCTGCAGCAGGGCTGCGAGCTGGGGGCTTGCATGTCCAGGTACCAGCAAGGCCCTCTGGCAGAGACTGTCAGGCAAGGACAGAGAGAAGATGTAATTTGCCCCAAGTTGTCAAACTCCTGGCCAGGTGTCACATGTGCAAGGACAAGTGGCTACAGCCCTATGAAGTGAAGCAAGTGGTTGTGATGTTAAGCAGCTGAGAGCCTAGGTCAGCCATTTTTCCCCCTTCCTCTGTTTATGAAAATAGTTTGTGAATATTTGTGTTTGGAATAATTATTTGGAAGAAGTCACAGCTGCATCTGCTCCTGCTGAACTGACAGTTTGCATTGCTGTCTCCTAGACATCTTAAATTCCCACTCTGAAAGAAAGACTGTTTTTCAAAACTAAGGCTTGATTTCCATGCTGATTCACAATGGATGTAATTTCAAAGAGCAGTGGGACTTATTACTGGTTTAAGGACCAATGTAAGAAAACAGATGAACTGAACCAGTGGCTGTTGCAGTGACAGCCACTTTGGGAGGACCCAGAAGCAGCTGCTATGAGAAAATCAGCCCTGCACAGGTAATGCCTCTGCCTTCATGCCATATTTGAAAAGAACAGAAATGCCACATTTGTGTGAGCTCCTGTTGCAGGTCATCACTTCCCATACATCTACCAGAGCTGGAAGCATCAGAAAGATGCATTTCAGACGTGCACAACAACAGGGAGCCACAATTGTGTTCCTCAACCATCTTTGTGAGCACATGAGAAAAATTTGAGGAGTGTCTGAAAGACACTGCAGAACTTGTTAGGTTTTTTTTCCCCCCAGCATGTAAATAACTGCATGCAATTAATAAGGACAGGAAAACACATGCATGTGTTTTATTTGAGACTTAGGTAATTATGCAATTAGAAACTATATGCACTGTATGCAATGTGGGTGGCAGGAGCTGAGGATGCATGCACAGAAAGTTTTCAGATTCTGATTTTTAATGCTGTATGACTCTTAAATCAACATGTGATTTGTAATTGGCTGGACAGAATCACAATAAATTTACATATCAGAAACAAAACAAGTCCCCGAGCTCAATTAGCCCTGGACTCTTGGAACCTTCTGGAGCATTTTAAATCTTCTTTTATGTGGAAACCCCCTTTCCTACTGGACAGAAATATATTAATGTTCCATCTCAATGTTTTTTTTTTAAAAGAAAGATATTTCTACAAGGCCATTTTGGTGCTATCAATATGATGCTGTCAAAGCCCTAAATAAAACACATTTCTATTGTAGTTGATTATTTAGGAAATGCATTTTATTCCAGGAAAGCCAGCATGCACAGGGCATTCACCAATATCCATTCTGCAACAGCAAAAGCAAAAAATAACTCCACAAATAGGTGTTTGCACTGGGAGAGCATAAACAGAGATTTTACCCAGGTATTGCTGTGTCATATTCTAACAAAATTTTGCATCTCAGACAGCATGGTAGCTCAAGACATTTGTCCTGAAAACATATACAAAGCAATCAGTAAGTTTTCTTGAAATGTCTTTATTGCTTTTAATTGTTCATTGGTAACAGCAAACTCAACAATTGTTTTTTTGTTTTTTCCCTTTCTTTTTTGGTTAACATATAATGTTCCTTAAAACTCCTTTTAAGCACCCAATTTATTATACGCCTACCACAAATGCCTTCTTTTTGCTGACTATACTATGAATTACACACCTATTTAACGTTTCAGAAGAGGAGACCTCACTCTTGAGCAGGAATGTTCAACATCAGTATAAATAGAGAACACCTATGGCAGCCCAAATCAAAGGCAAGCACACTGAAATCTAGGCTGGTAGACTTTTCACATTCAGGAAAACCTCTCTGACATTTTCTTTCTACAAAACAGGATTTCCTGATATGCCTGGAGTCAGTATGGTGTGACTTGGGCTGGCACTGCAGAATAGCAACAGCATACATTAAATCTGTGTTGGGAGCTGGTTACCAGAAACACTGCATAGTAATTATGGTGAAGATTCTTTGTGAAATAGATTCTGGTTTTTCAAATGAGATTCTGAAAAAAACACCTCCTAACATTGCAGCAGAAAAGCTTTACAACTTTTCCAAATTGTAGATGTCTCATCTTTTCCCATGAAACCTTACAGAACTTGTAATTTACTGAGTTACTGCTTGTTCTAATGACTACTTGAGGGGATGGCTTGGCATGAGTAAGAGATGAGTTTGTGTATGAATTCAGTTCAAAGGTTCATGCAATTTACACAAAGTAATGAAAAGCTTAACTTGAACTCTCAACAACTCCACTTGCCCCCACCTCAAGCTCATAACACTGGTATCATCAAGTCTTTAAGAAGCTGCCGCAGAATGCGGGGAAAAAAGGAGTCAAAACCAAGTTCCCAGCTTGCACCAAGGCTTCATTAATTAGAACCACGAGTCTCACAGATTAATAGTGCACAATGGCAAAGGGGCTGCTGCACTCCTGTTATGAGAGCTCTCCTCTCGAGCAACGCTGCAGAGCTTCCTCTCAGGCATGGCCTTGGGCAGGGCAGGAGACCACGATGGGGCCAGGCAGGGCAGAGACAAACAGCAGGGAGCCAACTGGATCTGGCCATCTGTGACATCTGATGACTGGTCCTCAGTTTGGAGGAGGGGCCAAAGGACAAAAATCAAAACAGAGCACAGAACAACAACAACAACATTTTTTATACAAGCAGCCCTCATCCTTGCTCCAGACTTTGAATGAGCAAGGACTGCACGATGTGCTCATCAAGTAATTTTTTCTCAGCTGTGAAGATTTAACTAGTCATACCATGCTCACCCTGTCATCGCTTTAGCTGCCTAAAAAAGTCCCAGACATTTCTAATACTGCTTTTCCAATAAAGAAATCTACATTTGCTCAGAAAGTAGAATCTTAATGAGGCCTTGATTGCTGAGTTAAAAAAGCATGAGGCAAGAGAAGTCTGTATTAGGAGAAGAAAAATAAAGAGCCCTTATTTAAACCTTCCTCTCACCTCAAAACAGAAGGCTCAGGAACTGAAGTGATAAAAAGCAAACACAATACAAAATCAATCTCTCTTTCTCCAGAAGGTAGGAGGGTTTTCAGCTGGCAAAATAAATTGTCTGTTAGAAAAAAAAGCGGTATCTAAATGCATTCCACGTAAGCAGTCATTTGCAACATCAGAAACACTGCAAGACTTCTCAGCACATGAAGCCTGTGTCCCCAGCTCACACACAAATGCAATAAAGTAAGACCAAGTTTTTAAATATTCGTTTCTGGAACTTGTTAAGTCACTGCTTGATTAAACATGAAGTAACCCAGACACCTTCTCTCAGGGTAGCCTTTTTCCAAATTACAGGAATTTTTTCCAAATTATGGCAAACCCCACAGTATTTATACCTCCAAACAAATTACCAGCATCTCATATATAAAATTGTTTTCATCTATAAGTACTTTCAGTAACTGCTTAAGAAGGATTGTAAGCATTTGAGGCAAAGGGCAAAAGCACAGGTCTAATTTTAAATAATTAACACAGAATCACAGAATCATTTAGGTTGGAAAAGATTTCTAAATCATTGACTCTAGCCTTTGACTGATTACCATGGTGTAGACCAAAGCATCAAGTGCCATATCCAGCTGTTTCTTGAACACCTTCAGGGATGCTGACTGCACTGACTCCTTGAGCAGCCCACTGCAAGGTTTAACAACCACTTCTGCTGCTTTGTTACCTCAGAAGAGGTAAAGAACTCTCAACACGAATGTAGACTTTTTTAAATGTCAGATTTATTTCCTTCCTTACTGAAGAGCTGCTCTGGTCTGCAAATTAATGGACAAAATAAGACTTCTTTTGATTTTCACATTGTATGTGCTTAAAAAAAGATGGATTTCTGATGACAATCCCTACAAATTGAAACTCAAATTAGATTTTCTCTTATATACTACCATTTTACAACTAACTTTGAAAACCTTGAGGTTTTACTACTCCTGCTACCCCTGTTCTGTAGCTCTGTAGTTCTGTAGCTCTTCCTGCTACAGAACAGAAACTGTACTGCATACATACAAACCTGTATTTATGTACAGACACGGAACCAGAGAAATAAAAGCACTGGGCAAATGTAAAAGCTGCCATTTGAGCTTATACTCCCCAGCAGGAACTCCAGTCAAGCAATGTTCTACACACAAATGTAATGGGGATTTTTCCATGGCCTTCAGGTCAGGCTCAGAAAGAGTATCTTAAGCATGGCAGGAGAAGAGGGAAAACTGCCAACTCCATTGCAAGATGAAATCTAGAGCTCCTTAAAAACCCACCTATTTTAATTAATTACTTTTATGTGAACAACAAAAAAATACACACATCAAAGTTTTAAAGTAGCAAATTTATATATTTTTTTATATCAGGACTTTCCTTCACTAGTTTAGTTTTAGTACAGATGATCCTCCCCCTAAGAGAGTATTTACAGACAAGGAAAAATAGTTAAACATCAGGATATTTATTTTGCATACAAATATTTACAGAAAAATACTTACAAAAATTAAGTATTCAAATTTTTATGGACTTCACTTCAAAAAAGCTTAATGCTTTCATCTTATAAAAACATGTTGCCTTTACTGTGCTCAAATTTACTATTCAGATCTCTGGATTTTCTTATAAGAGCTTTCTTTTGTGCTTCATCAAAGCGGTTGACTTTGAGATCCTGCTCTCGGTCAAACGGCCTTCTTTCCTGAGGTTTGCTCTTTTCTTCGGATGCTTTGCTCTTCAGCTTTTTCTGGTGCATGTCCATGAGAGACTCTGACCTCTTTGACTCCTGGAAAAAATGGGGAGGAAGAGGAAGTATTAAAGAATATCAACAACAACATACAGAAAATCCAAATGGAAAGACTGAAGGCAGGAAGGCTAAAAATTCCAGAAAAAGAAGACAGCTTAGTAACTGTATATAGAATGATAAATTTAGCACACATGGAGTAGAAAGTGCGAGTAATCTTGGCTAGGCTAAAATACTAATAATTCTCTGATGTAGATGGCCATAATGTTATGGGTAGCCATGATGTTGTTGAATCTCCGCAGACAATACAGATAAATTATAAAGATAATGCAAAAGAAATATAAAAGTTGCTCTGACATTACTGGCAGAATGAAGACACCATGTCAAAAGAAATATCTCAAAGTACAGGCCTCGTTTGCTATACACATCCCCTAAGCACCTGGATTTGGTCACTGCTAGGGGCAGGAACTAGCTAGAGACCCTTTCAACCTTTCATGCAGTACGATAGGTTTTTAAATGTGTGCTCCCAACTCTGAATCATCTGTTGAAAGCCCACAGGACAAAGTCACAGGTTTGAGCTGGAGCATGTGTTTTGCCAGCTCAGTGGCTTTAGCTGCCTTTCTTAGAGAGCATGATCCAGCTCAAACACAAGATAAAACTTCTGCTGATTTCACACAGGAGCAGGATCAGACTCCCAAGATCATGAGGCCCCTCATTTACTCAGGTACAGTGCATTTGTGTATCTAAACTAATTCTCTCATCAAAAAGAGCAAAAGTTGAACAGTTCTCTTTTCTCATCACTTCCTGTGCAAACACTTACTACATCACACATGCAAATAATAGCTTATTCACGAGTTAAGATAAGATTATCATGGAAAACAGACAATAGTTATTCATGATGCAACCATGCCAGCAATGACAAAATTGCACCAGAGAATGTATGTCATATCAGCATCAAAAGAAGAAACTACTTTAAGAATGAAATCTGTTCTAGTGAAGTATCCTTCTTAATTGTCAGTGCAGAAATAGGAAAGAATAGAGAAAAAAACTTTTAAAGAATACCCACAACAACCACCAGAAAATCAGAAAAGAACTGATATAACAAAAGAGAAAAAACAAACGACAAAACAACCCAAGAAACAAGTGTTCTTAAACTTGGAGACAACTCCATGAATCTTAGAAACAGCAAAGGCATGTGTATGTTTTATTCCACCAATGGCAGAGAACAAACCCCATAGTTTTACATGAAAATTATTCTACTGTTTTCATAGTGACAGGAGAAACAGACCTTAAAAAGAACCTTAAGAGAGAATGCTAATAGCTCTGGATTTGCAAGTCAGGAGAAACATATGATTTAATGAACCACAAATAAATTATCACAAGTGCCAGATAAATGTGTAAAATAAGCCAAAGATGTGATTTTCAATGTAATTGTCCTCTCAAGAGACAGACTGCCTTCCATAAGAGTTTAGGCCATACATCAGGGAAAAACTGGAAGTAGGAGCTTTAAAAGGCAGGCAGTGGTCCACACACTTCGAGGGACAGGGCTGACAGACAGATAAGTGAGAGGGAATTTGACATGGAGTTCAGATTTCTAGTAATCAACATCTGTCTGTGAACATTATCTGCTCCTGTACAGATGGAGAAAAACTACATGAAATGAAGTTCCTGTAATGAGTAGTTAATGTAACTAATGACAGAGGGTAATTAATGCAGTGACCTGCTTAGCCCATCAACCCTGTTTTAGGTTGTTGCATATGTTGGCCTAAAACTTAAACCTGCATTGTTGTTTTATTCTTGGATGTCAGTAATTGGGTGAAGCAAGCTAATATTTGAACTAAGGTCCCAGCAACCATGTCCTGACATGAGAATGATTGAAGGAAAGCACTATCTAATACTGAGGCAATATACACAAACCCAAATTCTGTTACTTTGCAGAGGACCCAGTCCTGCTCTTGTTGACATTAATGCCAAGGGTTCTAATGTCATAAAACAGCAGTAGGTTTGGGCACTAAAAGGGAAAACTATAGTGGCATCACCATGGAAACCAGCAGCACTAGAAATGAGAACCAGAAGAAGAGTGAAGAACTAAAGGAAACAGAGGAAGTATTTTGTGACCACACTTACATTGTATGAAGTCACCTGCTCAATAAGCCTCTTGTCCCTCCCAGATAATACCATTTCTTCATTATCCTTACTGCTTGACTTTTTTGCCTCTTCTCTTTCCTGATGAGTAGAAGGAAATCACATGCTACAGCAATCAGAATGTCTGAAGTGAAAAGCAAGCAAATCTATATCTACTTTAATTAAATTTAGAGGGTAAAGACCATGATACATGATCAGATATTTTCTGCTCAGCTTGATGGAAGAAGAAACTGGACATGCTAACTGGAAAGTCAATAAGCTGATACAGAGTATCTGACTACTGCAAAAAGGGAGCAGAAATAAATGTATATCAATGATATTTAATGTTGTTACTTCATTGCCTTCATCTTTAAGCCTGAATTAGTAAATTTTAATAACAAAGAAAAACCTGGGAAAGAAAATTTCACCAACCAACCCACAGTACCTTTGCTTTGTTTTCACTGAACATCAGTAACACCAACTGCCTGCAAGTGTATATGAATGGATAAATAAATGCTCACCTTGGCTTTTCTCTCTCTGTCAGCTGGAGTATCTGTCCAAATAGATCTATCACCTGATTTGTCATCAGCTCGTCTCTTGAATGTTCTTGGGCCAAATCCAAAGTTTTTCAACTCGGGTGGAAGCTCTGTCATCCACGATTCCCTGGTAACTTGTTTGGGTTCATCCTTTGCCAAAGAAGTAGGGGTGGAGGGAAGAGTGAAAAAAGCATAATCAAAAATTACTGTCTGAATCTCTTGGCTTCCAGCAGAAATCATAGACTTTTTTTCTTTAACACCTGCTACACATAGCATCCCAAGTAGAACTGCAACCGGGTTTACACAGAAATAGGCAAAGAGAAAGACAAATACACTCCAGCAACAAAACATTATAAATTAAGAAATCCAACTTACGCTGTCTGCTGAAGTAAGCTTTTCTTTCATTCTCTGAGCTCGGCGTTCAAACTCTTTAGCCACATCAGACTCCACTGGTCCTTTTGCAGGCATTGGGCCTATTAAATTGTCTTCGTCCTCACTACTATCTGTCAGCTTCCAAAAAGAAAACATTTCTTTCAAACACAGTGCTAAGAGCATCAAGGAACACTTCAGCTTTATAGAATTAAAATTACTTTGTCCAGAAGAGCACATAAACCTAATGTAAGGCATTTCCCAGACAATAAAAACCTAGATTAGAACTCCAGATGAGACCTGTTCTAGTGCTTGAACATGGATATTTTGTCTCTAATTTGCCAAAAGCAGCATCTCTTGTCTGAGGCAAGACTGCTGGTAAAGGCAGTGGCAGCAGACAAAGCCCTGCTACTTTACACTGCTCTGCACACAGCCACACAGCCTCTCTGGCTGTAGGTAAATTTGGAACACACATTCATACAACTTCCGTATTTTGGGCTTTACCATCACCAGCAACATTTGGATGCATTTCTCTATTAAGGATCACAGTTTCACACTGCAAGAACTGTCTCAAGCTCAGGTGCTGTAAGGATGTCAGAAAGAATAAAGTGCAAGGTAGGGTACCAGTGGCACGCATGGTACTATGCCCCTGAAAGTACAGCATCTCCAACTAATCCCCTGGCTCTGTCATTCACTTCTTCGATCCCTCATGGATCCCTTCAGGAAGAATTTCTTCACTGCAAGGGTTATCAAGCATTGGAACAGGCTGCCAAGGAAGTGGTGGAGTCACCATTCCTGGAAGTGTTCAGAAAACGACTGGATGTGGGCCTTAGTGCCATGGTCTAGTTGACTTTGGTGAGTCCAAAGGTTGGCCTCAATGATCCTGGAGGTCTTTTCCAATTTAATCATTACATGATTCTGACATCGTATTCTAAGGAATTTTTTGGAGAAGAGCTAAAAACTTAAATTTGTTAGGGACTAGATGTCAATAAAAATTTTCCTACTTGCCAGGAGTTGTACAGAAAGCTCACCGGTGCCTCCCTCCAAGTTCAAACAGTACAGATGTGGATGGAAGCAAAACTAGACAGAAAATGGTGATGCCACAGTGCCCTGGACACAAAGCTAAGGTGTCCAATATCTACAGAAGGGAGTGCAAAGATTTTGCTACAGTCTGACTGTGCGTGATAAAGCAATGGGAGTAGGATGACAAGGCTGTGTAGCCAGGAAGCACAAAGCATTACTTGAGAATACACAAGGTGGTGAGTCATTAGATTCACTAAAGCAAAGTGAAGAGTCAGCATGCCTCTAAAGATGTACCTGAACACAACATAATTAAATACATTTTTTTAAAAGCCAACAAGAAATTACTCATATTAAAAAATAAGAAAAAGAGTATTATTAGGAAAAGGTAACAAAAAGATAACTATTAGGGAGAGAAAAACAGTAAGTTCTGTAATACCTGTAAAAAAGCTGTTGCTTGAAGATGTATTTATGAGAAGAGAGACTTTTTTGTTTGCAAAATATAAAGGCAGACAGCAGACATCTCTGCCTCAAGAGATTTGTCACTATGATAAATTACTTAATCATTATTTGGAGTTATAAGACGATGAGTACCTCAGAAATGTCAGATAATCTTTCTGCACGATGAATTACAACACCACTCACTGTAGGAGGCTGGAGAATTATATGCTTTGCAACTGCTAACCAAAAAAGTGAAGTTTCAGAGCAGCCTTTGCATTCCTCCTTCCTAGTGTGTCTAGCATTTCCCATAGTATCTGGGAGCTAAATGTAAAAATGTAAGTATTTTTAAAATAAACAGAATAAACATTAATTCTCACAAGGAATTAATATTCAGTTTATCATGGCATGGCAGAGATTCACTTGCTGAAGCCCTGGTATCCAGCACCATTTTTGGTGTCTTAGGTGCTGTGGTGTTAAAAGGTGCTGCTCAAGAAGGGCATGACTTTCTCTAAAAGTGCTACTCCCTACCTGCCAGGCCCTCCCATAGGCAATTTGGATCCCTCAGAATGGTACTAGAAGCCCATGTTTAGGGAGTTCAAGCTTCCCTACGGCTGTATTTTATCAGGCATCTTGTTCATGAATGTTCTTTAGTAGCACATGCATTACTTTGCAACCAGAACTTCTAGCTAGTTTTTACCTAACATGACCAGAAAACTCAAAATCCATGAACCAAAAAAGCACGTCAGTGTCACCGTCCTGCACCTCACTCCCAGTTATAGGTATCATCCTGCAATTGCCAAGAACAACTCAGTGACACTGTAATGTCATTCTTGATTACATTCTTTTGGATAAACTTATTTAAAGGTTGTAGCCACTAGTAAACATCTTTAAGGAAGTGAAGATGTGTTTTCTGCCTGCAGTTTAGGATGCCAAGATTGCTTGTGTTCAGTGAGTGCACCATCTATTTAACAGCAAAAGCACAACAAACCAGGCCAGTCTTTTTGGTTTCTTTTTTTAAAAAAAGGCTTATTTATGCTCAAGTATTTGACTCCAGCAAAAATATGCCAGACACTTTCTGGTCCAAAATTAAACTGTCATCCTTAGAAGTGTCTGGTAGTCTCTTTCAGGCTGCAACTTGTTTAACCATTTCAGATAGCTTGTACTAAAACAAAAAGCTTCTCTTTGCACCAACCTGGGGACGGGATTCTGATGAAACAGATGGTCCTATGAAACATCTGCTACTTCTGGTGTCCTCTGAAGCTTTCCTAAAGCCAGGTGGTAACGCAGGACCTATAATGGGCCTTGACAGCAGAGAGAAAAAAAATTTAAAAAAAATTTTGTTCTTTCAGTTGAGGGGGGAAAATATAATAGATCAGTATAAAAATAAAATCAAACATCAATGAGAAGTATGACTTTCCTTCCTCCCCAAACCAAGTGTGCCCCTGTGCACACCTACTGTAGAAATAACTGAATAAGAGTGCCTCCATTTTCCAGGAGGATATGTGCAGACAATTTTAATGCAAAAAAACAAACAGAAAAAAAAAAAAACAGAACCAGGAAAGCTGCAGCATGTAGTCAAGGAAATCCACTTTTTTCTTCCATAGCTTTCTTCACCAGATTCAAGAGCAATGAAAGGTGATAAGACAAATATACACTCCTTCACAATCAACAAACCCAATTTCGTTCTTGTCTTGCACCTCAGTTTCATTGTCCTTTAATAAGCAGAAACAGTGAACTGCTCTAATTTTATTTTACCTTGGAGTGGGAAAGAGAAGGAAAATTTTGTGAGTCCAGGTAACTTCACTGAATTGTTTTTAAGCAGCAGCTCTGAAAGAAATATTAATCAGCTGTCTCCACAAACGCAGAAAGGTGACAATCTCTATTCAGTGGTGAAAAGAATACTACAAACCGAGCTCAAAGAAACTTCGCTTGCTGTATTGAAAGTCTTTAAAATGTGGGCTCCTCTTAATAATCCACCATAAAATTCTTTAAAGCTAATAAAAACGAATTAAAAACTTAAACAACTGTCACCTGAAGACACATCCAGGTGACAGTATTGTCACAATGTAAGAGTAGACTTTGTTTATTACGACCTTCAGTTGTGAGCTTTAGCTTATTAAATGTAACAACACCTGAATTGAATTTGCTAATTATGGCCTTTACTCAGTTCCAATAATCTAATCAGGACAGCCCTGCTGTAGTGATATTGCTGCCAGGGTTTAAAGAGGGGAAATAAAAGACACAAAGTCTCACTGAAGAACCAACCACAGATATACAGACATGAGAAATGAATATGAGCTCAGGCCAGGATAAGGGCACTGGCATGGTTTTAAACCCAGGCAAGAAGTCTGGGTTAATTTTGAAGTTCCACCTCCACCTAGCTGCTACAGTTTTATCTTCCTTCCTTCCTGACCACTTTCTTGTTAAGACCATGTTTTAATTTCCTAATGTAATTTAAATAGAGTTTAAACTTATACAGATATAGCAAAATGAATCTTTTATTTTGGTACACAAGTACTTTTATTCTGCATGGAGAGACAGATAAACTATAAAAAAAAGCTCTCTACTGAAATATATATATCTATATGAACATCTCTGTTGTGGGTTGTATCACTGCAGCCTGTGAAAAAGAACCAATCCCACATGCTCTGTCTTGATTCTGTCACAGCTCAAAGGGCCTTTAGAGAACAGAAAAGTAGTTTATATATTCATCCTTCCCATCCTTATGCTTTTTCTTTTCCACTACATGAGTAACTCCTCAGCCTTTCCTCAGCAGTACAGAGGTGACGTGATCCTTGATAGTTTCCTGGATGTCCAGAGGGTCTCTGAACAAGTGAATTGAATCTAAACACCAGTAATATTATAACTCTGATAATATATTTACTTTAATAATATATTAACTACTAAAAAATAACTGGCAAACACATTTTACTGCTGTAGGTAACTTCAGGACATGTACCATGTCAAAAATACCCCCCAAACTTATGCACTAAGATTTAATTTAAGGACTATTGCATTTTATATATGGCAAAGACTGTTCTCCTGTTGTTGGACTTGGAAGTCCTTGCTAATGCACATTTTGAGATGGATGTTTCAGCATTCTTCTGATGTATAATGTAAAATTTTTTAAGATCACCTTCACTCTTTACCTTGATGTGTGAACTCTTCAGAAATATTTATGAGTGGTGTACTTCTATCTAACACTGGTAAACAGTAATATAATATTCAAAGTTGAAGGAAATATTTTCACATATATATATATTATGATGGAATGATTCAAACCATTTTCAACAAGCTCCAGATTGCCACACGAGCTGCCCCTAATCATGAACATGTTGCTTTGACAAGTCTGGAAAAGATGTAAGAGAATAAGATCTTTCCTAAAAGAACGAGTATGTCACACAGAAGTGATAAACAGCCTGTCCATACACTGAAACAAACGACCTGCATTTGTTTCAATTATTCATGGCTCAGTTGGCAGCTGGCAATCTGCTCAAGGCTAAGGGCAATGCAGCAGGCAGACAGCAGCACTGTGTCTGTGCCCTGCACAGCTCACACGCCTCCCAGACTCCCAGGTGTGTCAGCTGGCAATCTGCTCAAGGCTAAGGGCAATGCAGCAGGCAGACAGCAGCCCTGCACAGCTCACACACCTCCCAGACTCCCAGGTGTGCGGGGGTGGAAGACAGACAAGGCTCTTCCCACACATCTCACTGTTCCCACCTATTCAGGGAATCAGGCTGGGTGCAAAACAGCTCTCCTCAATCTGCTTTCTCTGTGCGTGCTAGGAGCAATTGTATGGTGAGGTAGGAAAAAACAATACAGTGAGTGCCAAGTGCCTTTACTGCTTTAATTTATCACAGACACAGAGCAGACTCTTGCCTCAATGTCACAGAATCACAGAATATTCTGAGTTAGAAGGGAACCACAGGGATCATCAAGCACAGCTCTTGAGTGAATGGCCCCTTCCTCTTCCATTTTACCACGAGTATTCATGACAAAAATAAAGAAAGGCTACCTCTGCTGATATCAGAAGTTACAAGCATTTCCTTTTTTTAATAGAGAATACATTATTTTTAATGACCTGCTAAATTTTATAATTAAAATAATACTTTGTGCATACACAACACAAGGAAAAAAAATTAGTTGTTTGTGGGACCATCAAAGGACCAAATGATTCCACTGAGCATGATACCCACAACTACAAGAGGTTTTTGATTACAGCAGTGTAACCAAATGTACATGAGAAAGATACCTCCAAATAACCTTAGTTACATAAATTCTTGCTTAGTTACATACATTTTATGCTGCCAAGCATCATAAAAATTTATGCAAACTAAAAAAAAGAATTAACTTCAAAATTTCTTTTGAGATGGTATATTTACACACACAGCTCAACAGTAAATTGAGTCACTTTCCTGGAACTGAAAACTCATACCTGACAGGCAAGTATTATTTTATCTACCAACTCCTATTGCTCTGAGGAAGATAAAAGTGATCAAAGGACTCTTGTACTTCTCATCAGGAAGTATCCCCTTGGAAGCACCAGTTCTACTATGGACTATAATTTCAAATTATAGAAGGAAGTGCCCAGATTGATGTAAAGACTGAAAGGCTGTGAGACATGGTTGAGTTCTATAAAGAAAATCCATATAATATTTTGGGTGGGAAGTATTTTATAACTGTAAGCAATCAAATGGAAAGCTTCCTGATAAAGACCATAAATAGTGTTTATTTGTGTAGACCTGACAGGCTCTTTTCTAGAAACCTACAGTGTTCAGAGTAGTTTTGTACCTGGAGATACGTGAACAATAATCCTTGATGCATTAGCAAAGGACAGGGTATTGCACCACACACGAGGTAACTGCCCCAGTCCCTCACAGACCAGAATGAGCACTACAGAACTACAGGTCCTCGTACCTGTAATTTGTTTTTTCTCCACTGATCTGAGATCTATCAATAGAAATGGAGGAAATTTGACACACATCTCAGAAAATTTACATTAGTTCTTTTACTCTCCTTCCAACCTGGCCTAGGAGGGCTGGTGCTCTGTTTCAAGGGAATGCTGTTCTTGTTCTCAGAACATGGAGGAAGCATTACCACTAATCATATCAATCTCAAGTGCACAACTGAAATGTTCTGTAATAGTGACACAAAACATTTAATCTAAAATAATTGTGTTTTGAGGAAAAGAATCTGAATATAATTCCATTTTAATTACCTCTCAGGAGAATCATCCTGTTTTTTAAATCCAGGAGGAAGAGCTGGCCCAAAAAAGCCATCATCATCATCGTCTTCATGAATTCTTTTTGGCTTTCTGCAAATACAGATTTCACTTAATAATTACCTTGACAAGCATAGCAATTATCTACGCTTTAAAAAAGAAAAAAAACACATAAAATTATTTCATAGGGTCTTCTGTACTAAATATCCTGTTGTTACCATGGAAACAGTGCAAAAGGATCCAAAATGATTTGAAGCAATTAAAAAATGGGGAGTATAAGATTCACTTCAAAAACGTTCTGACATTTAAAAAAGAAAAAAAAATTAAAACAACATTAAGAATGCTTTTTCTGTAGAAAGAAGTTTAGTATAATGTTGAAATACCATTTTCTAGTCACAAAGTAATTTAAAATTCAGTACTTTCTCCATTTTTGTATGCCGTCTGCATTTTGAGTAGTATTTTTCCTGTTCAATTCTAATTAGCTGAAAAACAAACTATTGACTAAGAAAACAAGAAAAAAATTGAATAATAATTACTCTAGCACTCATTAGGATGGCATAAGGGCCTTCAAGTCTCTTATAAAAGGCTTAGAGCAAACACACACAAATTCTTAACACAGCAATTGTGAGTAATCAACCCCACAAATGAGAGTATCTGCAGACTCCTGTTACTTGCTAAACAATTCAGGTTTTTTTCATGAGTTGACTTCATTTAATGCATAAATTCATGTCCATAAACAGGTCTTACAGCCTCTCAAAGAGAGTCAGTATACCAAAACCAGGGCAAAAAATCAAGTACCAAATACTTACGCACATGGTAGAATGGTATCAGTCCTTAGCATAAACATGCAAATTTGCAGAACTAAAATAAAACATATAAATACAGAGATCTGACTGTCCCAAATAATTTCATTCCACCGTAGGGCGTCAAACAGGTCAGCTGAACATTCTTGGCCATGAAGAACATGGAGAACATGTAACCAAAAGTTTTACACAGGTACAGAGTTTACCTTTTTTTATACAACATTGTCCCTTTCTCATAAGTTAGACACAATACATTTGCAATACAATTTTAAATATACAAACAATCCAAAAACATACTTACTTGGGTGCTGGATCTCCTTCTGTCTCCTCTTCAGAATCTCTGTTTGTGTCTCTGGGTAGAGGAAGAGATTCTGAGTCGTCATCACTGTCGGGAGTTTCTGAGCTACAGCTGCTTTTGTAGTCTGGAGGCAGTGCTGGTCCTGCAACTGAACATCCAGAGTTATTTGGGATCATAAAATCACAGAATGGTTTGGACTGGAAAAGACCTTAAAGATTATCTAGTTCAAATCCCCCTGCTATGGGCAGGGAACCTTCTACTAGACCAGGTTAAATAAGGATACCTAGCACATGTTTCAGATGAGTATGACCTACCATGGCATTTCCAAAACACTTATTTACTTGGAATTAAACTTATTTAATCACTGCTCTCTCCAGCATTTAGAGAAGATATCTAAACAGATTTCTAGAAGTTACTTCTTTCAGCACCTTATTTCCATCAACAACCTATGCTGAACTGTTCTGACTTAGGACATTACAAATCCATTCCTACATGAGCATTTCTCTGGAACAGGGCTAGAAATCCCTGTTTGGTGTAACAACTAACGAACAATGGATGTGGCATAAACCAGTATATTTAAAAGAAGCACTTTAATGAAGCATTTGAAGCTCACTAGTGAAGAAACACATCATCTGTACATACACAGCGTGGGAGACCGTAAATTATTAAATGGGAGCATTTGTGACCATAAAGTATTAAATTAATTGCCAGCCTGCTTTGGGAATGGTTTAATGATAAAGGTTATTCCCAGTTCAGCTAAATGTGAACAGCAGGGACAGATTTAAGTACTCTGCTGTAAAAGGGATGATTTAAGCATTCAGAGAATGAATTCAAAGAATTGTTACTGTCAAAAGGCCAGGACAGTGGATGGAGCTCTCATGCTCCAGTAAAACCTTCATGCTCTGGGGTAATATCTCAGCAAAATTAAAACTCAGACACTAACACTGCTAACAGGCCTGATCTTTATAGATTTATTTGGCTACAGCACCACATGCAGTGGGTCCAGAAGCAGCTTAGCCATTGACCCTAACAGCAAATGCCCTCCAAACAAGACCCCTAACACAGATACCACCCTCACAGGCTCGCTCTACAAGGAGTCAGCTGGAGCAAGCAAAAACCAGCAATGGCTTTACCTCCCCAAGTAAGAGGCCTTCCCAATCCAGGGCAAGGCACCCATTTACACAAACACAGTGCAAACAGCCCATGTTCCCATGTAATGGAGATTTGATTCTACTGATGATTTAACATCCTGAGACACAGACACCATTCCTCCTCTTAATATCTCAAGCACTGAGTACAAGATTTGCAGGACAGAGAGGTGCTTTGGTGAGGAAAAGACATTGTTCCCTTTATGAATAGTCAAGGGTCAGATGAAAAGATAAATGGTACCAGGAAATTAGATCTCCAGTTGAAGAACTACAATTTTTTGATAGTACAAAATACAACCTAATGCATATTATGGTTCCATTGTTAGCTGACAAAGGCTAGGCAGAAATCAAGTCCTTCCAGCGAGCTTCACAAAGCTTTTAATCATGTTTAGCACAAGACTAGTTACAAAGCATCCAGGCAGATCTGCCACTTCTTTGTTTCCTGTTCTAATGGAAAAAACTTTAAATGGGACAAATCCATTTCAGCACTAGGAAAGAAAAAAACCCCAACAAACCACTTCTCTCGCCCTAAAAAAACCCAAACACAACACCCTAGCCTATAAAGGTAAAATAAGTTCAAGATGAAAGCAAACAAACAGATTAATGATAAGTAGGAATAAAAACTGCTATCAAGAGGTCTCATTTTTCCGTACAAAAAGCACCACTTGAATGAAAGCACTTAAAACCCACACAAAACCTGCACAACTGCTTTCTCCAGCCACCTGGTACCCTGACATCATGCAAGCAGACTTCATCTGCTCTAAATGCAAAAAACAAGACTTGGAGTGGAAGGAACAAACTCAGATACAATCTGATGAGTCTGATACTAAAGAAGAAGAGAGAAATTAGGAGCAGTTTTGTGAGCTGCACAGAACTAGTAAAACCAAAACTATGTGAGGAAGGAGACTCATCCCACTGGTATGTTGTTCAACACCAGGGCTAACATACATACTTTTATGCCAATTCCTCTCCGTTATGTTGGCAAAACTGTTTGCATGGGCTATGCAATAAGCTGGATCAGGGAACTTAAAAGGCATGAAAACAACACTGCAAACCACAGCACTCCCCTGAAAGAACTGCTTGTTAGTGGAACTGCAGCCTAAGCAGCACAAGCAGAAATTAAACAGAGACTGAGACTGACTAATGAAGGGCAAACGGCATTTTAAGCCTGAGGAAGAAAAAGTCATTGGACATGGTGGAAAGAAATGGAGGGGAAAGAGACTTGGGATTAAAAATTGATATGACCATGGTGCTGACTGAGACTAACAACCAGCAAATCAGCACAGGCAAATACACAGCTATGGATCAGGATGGTTTGGGGAGCCACAAAAAAGAGGAGAAAGGTAGGAGTGGAAATTGCTAAGCATAAATTCTGGAAGCAAAGAAAGAAAAGGGGGAGCAGGGAGGCCAAGATTTAATCAGAAGTCTGTGAAATTCCCCAAAAGCCACGGAAATGTGGAAAAATACAGATGAAAGGAGAACAGAGGAGAGCTCAAAGAGTCGGGAAACTAAACCTAATGAGGTGAGGAGGATAAATGGATGTAGCAATGGCAGAGCAACAGAAAAATGACAAAGTAGCCAGATCTCAGAACAATTCAGAGCAGAGCAATGGGATAAAAATGTATGAGGAGAAAATGTTTGGGATAGTGAGAAGAGAAACAGGACCAAGTGAGACTGAAGTGAATGTTTCACAACTATTAAAAGTGACCATCCTACTAATGAGCTGGCTCTGGTGACTATCTGCCTGAAAATTAAGTCAATTCAATTCAGAAACCAAATTAAAAGCTACTTTTTGTTTCGTTAGGGTTATTTCTGCTGTATCTGGGGATTCTAAGCACACTACCACACCATCAGACGTGACCTGGGAAGCTCTCAAGGACAGACAAGACCTTTCAGCTCCAGCATAGTGGTAGATCAACCCAGACATATCAACATATCTGTATGTGGCCTCAATGCTGAAACAGACAAAACTCCCTTCTGCGTCTCTGGTTAATTTTAGCCATTCCCTAGCACTTCTGTCCTGCTGGTACAAGGACAGCCCAGAGACAGGGACAAATGGGCCAAAGGAAGTACAATTCTTCCAGCAGGAGCACAGTTAGTCCAGCTTCAGAGCACCATCATGAAGTGATGAATCAAGACATAAGTGCATCCCATGGGTTGGACAAGCTGAAGAAGGTAAAGATTTACTAGGGATGAGCTTTTGGGTCTGTCCAGCTACCACCTGCTTCCATCCTGCTCCCAATTAAGGGTCACAGAAGTATTATTAGCAACCTCTCTGATACCAAAGAAAGTGTGGTTTGTCCCATGGTAAGAACACCAGTGGGTATTGCAGGACAAAGTGTCTGGATGCCTGTATCCAGAGGGGTGGCGGGAGTGGGGCTCAGTGGGTGTTTGCTACTGACTGTGGGGCACATCAGCCTGCACAAGGGTATAAAATGTGGCTGGACACTGAGCCACCTAGTCTGCCAAGGCTGCAGACAGCTCCCAGGTGGATTGTCCCCAGAAGGAATGTATTAGCAATAAATCTAATCATAATCATACACAGTCATTTTCCTATTTCTTGTGTCTGTCTGAGAGCCTTCTCTTTGCCTGAGAGTCTTCTCTGCCACAGTCTGCTCAAAGTCCTACTTTCTTGCTGTTGGGAGACAGAAACTATGAAAGCAGACTAAAAAAACCGAGAAAAGCAATGAGCAGCTCAAATATCAGTGAGACTACTGTGACAGGAAAAATATTGGAAAAGCTGTTCAGCTTTAAAAGGTGAAGCATCTCTTAAAATAGCTAGAACACACAAGGGAAATTGTTACAGAACAAATTCTAGGCCCATTTGACTCAAGACTCAGCAAGTGCTGCAGCACAGAAGGTGCTGGTGGCAGCCCCACCGTGTGATTTTTGTCACTCCAGGTGCAGAGCTCCAGATGGAGCTGCAGTTCTGTACAGCAAAGTGTGTTATGCCAAAGTACTTGCTCTCCTGTCTTCCTCTGCACTGCAGCAGTCTGCCTCATGGGGTGAGCAGGGACACTGAACTGATGTAAGTCAAAGTCAGAAAAGGTTTGTGAAAATTATAAAAACAAACAACCTGCCAGTAGATGGAGTTTGGGGTTTTTGTTTGCTTGTTTTCAAAGGCAAATAAATTCCTTCATCCACTCCACACAGAAATTTCCAAGCAGATCTTGGATCAGTTGCCAGAGCAACTATCATACCATGGAACTGATTTACACTGGGACAAAGAGAGGACAAACTCAGCTGATGAACCTAACCTAGACACTGCTGAAGCACTCAATGTCACCAACTCATGGCCTAAGGATAAGTTTAACTTGTTTTTTTCATACACGATACAGATACTTGCAGCACCCATCAGTGTGTTGATGGCAAGTGAAAAAGCCATTAACACAGATATGGCCAGGAAAGGCAGCACCACTCGTGCAGTCAGGGCTTCTGCACAAAGCAAAGCTGAGACCCAGACACAGAGCTTGATGTTGCCATGGTGTCAGCTGATGCAGCAGCTTTATCCCTCTTGCTATTGCTCCCTCTTCTGGATTAAAAAATTAGAGAGCAGACAAACACAACAAACCTTTCCTATCAGAGCTGCTTTCTTTGGAGCAACCGAACGGTGAGGGACACTCTGCTAGAAACGGAATACATGAACTAGTGCCTTAAACCTGGATTAAAGGTAAGGAGTGCAAACGCTCAAAGTGCTGCTCCCAGAGATATTACTGACAGAGAACATGCAAGAATTTTAGAGGGGAAGCTGAGCTCCACTGCAGAAGAGCCAGCCTGGCAGTCAGCTGCTCTCGGTGGGATCCCAGCTCTGATGTGAGGGCTCTCGACATGACAGACCCTGGCAGGCAAGGCACCACAGCCCCACTGACCGGCACCACAGCCTGCTCCACATCCCGAGGGGCTCTGCCTGGAAAACCACAGCTGATGAAGTGGCTTGGCAGAGGAAAGCACGCTGCACAGGCCCAGCCCCCTCCTTTCCTACCCGCTAATTCCACACTTGGAGCTGCTGAAGAGCACAGGTTCAAAGAGCACACGAGACTTGAGCGGGACAAAAGTAAGCGACCGAAAGCAGTATTCTTCTAAAACGAGCCTTAAAGCGTTCCATTTCTGCGGCATTCCATCGCATACGGCGCTTATTTCTTGTGAGCTTTTTTTTTTTCTTCTTCTTTTTTCCCTTGAAAAAGTCACTGCAATGACCCTGTAATGGTGAGTTTAGCTCCATGCAGGTGCCGCACTAGCGGTGTACACCCCGGGCTGCGGAGCTATCCCACGCACGGAGCATCCCGCGCCGCGGAACACGGGCCGCACAGCCGCTCCACCCCACCCGCGGAGCGCCTCACGCCACGGAACACCGGCCGCAGGCCCCGCTCTCCCCACGGAGCGCCCCGCGCTGCGCCATCAGGGCCGCAGGCGCCGCTCTCCCACGACCGGCGCCTCCCTGCGCTCTCACCCTGGCTGAAGTCCTCGCCCGGCTCGGCCTCGGCGCGGCGCGGGAAGCCGGGCGGCAGCGCGGGCCCGATGAGCTGGCGGGCCATGGCGAGGCCGGCCCCGCGGGCAGCCCGGCCGCCCTCCCCGCGCCCGGCGCTTCCCGGCTCCCGCCCCGGCGGCGCTCCCGGATGACGCGGCGCCCGCCGGGGAGGAGGGAGGGAGGGAGGCGGGGAGGGCTCGCCCTGCTCGGGCGGACGTGACGCGTTCAGCGGCCGCCGCCGGAGGGCCCCACGTGGTGGAGCGAGAGCATCGCGCACCGGGGTCCGCACACCGGGCGGCCTCCCGGGCCCGACATGAACCCCTTCGCCTGGTACCCGCCGCCGCCGCCGGGGCTGCCTCCGCCGGGCATGCCCCCACCCTTCTTCTGCCCGCCGCCCTCCTGGGACACGAGCTTCTGGGCTGCCCCCGTGCCCTACCCCCCGCCCGGCCGCTACCCGCCGCCCGACGGCCCCTACGCGTCCGCCGAGTCGTCCTACCCGCAGCCCGCCGAGAGCTACCCGCCCGCTGAGGGCTACTCGGATCCCGCCCAGAGCGTGCCTCCCGCCGAGAGCTATCCCCAGCCTGCCCAGAACTTCTCGCAGCCCGAGGGCTACCCGCAGCCCGCCGAGGGCTTCCCGCCGGCTCAGAGCTACCCGCAGCCCGAGAGCTTCCTTCCCCCGCACAGCTACAGCTCGCCTGCCGCCTGGTTCCCGCCGGCCTACGGAGCGCGGCCGCAGGGCCCGCACGCTGGTGAGGGCAGGGCAGGAGCCGTGTCGTGGGCCCCTGGGCTCCTTCCCACACACGCGGGCTGTCGTGAGCCCGTGGGGCTGCAGGGCTCTCCTCCAAGCACGTTGGTCATTCAGCCCGCTCTTATCTCTTCCCCACCGAGGTGGGAGGGGGGGTGTTTTACCAGATATATCTGTGAATGGCTCATCTTTGTTTTTTCCTTTCTCTGTTCTGAAGGTGGAAATGGTAATTTCTCCCAGAAGTGGCAGGGCAAGCAAGCGCCTCCATTTAGTAAACATTGTCCAGAAGAAAATAACAAGCCAAAGGTACGGAGTGGGGTCCCCTGTGTAAGAGGAACATGTACGTGTTGGCATGGGTCCAGGGAAAGGCCACATAAGTGATGAGCGGGTGGAGCACCTCTCCTGTGAAGGCTGAGAGAACTGGGGAAGCCCTTTGTTCAGCCTGGAGAAGACTTTAGGTAGAACCCTGCATCATCCTTGCAGTACTTTGAGGGAACTTAGGAGAAAGATGGGGACAGACTTCATAGTACAGCCTGTAGTGTTAGAGCAAGGAGTAATGGTTTTAAACTGAAGCACAATAGATTTAGATTGGACATGAGATTTTTTTTTTATTATGAAGGGGATGAGATACTGGTACGCATTGCCTGGAGAAGCTGTAACTGGCCTGTCCCTGTAAGTGTTGAAGGCCAGATTGAATGGGGCTTTGAGCAGCCTGATGTGGTCATAGGTCATGGTAAGGGGGGGTGGAACCAGGTGATCTCAGAAGGTCCCTTCCCACCAAAACCATTCTGTCATGGTGTCAGTCTTATGGGACTTGTCCCAAGGCACTATAGAGGTCTGGTTCTCCTGTCTGATCTGGTGCCCTTAGAAGAGAGCAAACATGTGACAGTCTGTAACTCTTGAAAGATACATGTCAACCAAATTGTTACACAGGTTTATGTCACCTTACTGTGATGGTGCCTGAATTACACTAGTGCTCTGTTCATGGTCAAGACCTGCCAGCCAGATGACCCTGATGTGTGTAGTGGGAGAAGGAAGGGTCTGTGCTGCCCTCTGAACTTGTACCAGTCATGGTCTGTCTTGGTAGGGAAGAGACATGGAGCTTTAGCCTAAATCTCACAGCCCTCAGAAGTCTGTGCCAGCAGACTGGTGTGTTTGCAGAAGCAATAATTGATTGAAAGGTGGTAGTGGGAAGAGCTGAGTGCAGGGCACTTTGTTTAGAAGATAAGTAATTGGAATTTAACTTTCATATTATGTTAGCTTGTCTTTGAAACTTTTGAAACATGTAACTGCTTTATTAACAAAAATACTAATATTTTTTCATAACTAACTAAACACGGGAATATGTTGTAACTGCAATCCTGAGATTATTTCTTCTTTTTTTTTCAGACCAGAAAGAAAAAAGAGCCAGTTTTTTCTCATTACTGTGATACCTGTGACCGTGGCTATAAAAACCAGGAGAAGTACGATGAACACATTTCACAGCATAAGCAGGTTAATGAGTTTGGCTTTTTTTATTCACACTGATTTTTTGCTTTGTGCCTGACAAGTTGTTAGCTGTAGTCACTCTTTGAACAGAAGACACAGGAATGAGATTCCAGAGCTATGTCAAGTATTAGTAGAGGATTTTGTTATGAATGCTGTATGTAGGGGAGGCTTCTGCTGTATTTTTGGTTTTATTACTAAAGCCTTTTAAACAGTTTTTCTTGTGAAGTATTACTAAGCCATGGAAATTAATTCATTAATTCATTAAAATTAATTCATTAATTGACGCCACTATTGCATGTACAGTTGTTGAGTGAAAACATTTAAAAATTTCCTTTGAGAAGTATCAAAATTTGAAATGGACGAGTCTTGCAAATTTTTATCTTGAGTTGTTGAGTGAAAACATTTAAAAATTTCCTTTGAGAAGTATCAAAATTTGCAAGTATCAAAATTTGAAATGGACAAGTCTTGCAAATTTTTATCTTAGGCAAACTTCACTTTCTCTTCAGTTGTCAGATACATCGCCTACACTGGTTATTCTAAAACCAGATGAAATTTAAAAGTGCATTATCCCTGCTTGCTGTTTTTACAATCACTTTTGTTAGCAAACAGGGTAACTTACACAGCTTGTGCAACAAACTGTACAGGCAGCTGACTGAGTTTATTTGAAGTGTGCTCAAAAGCTTGTTTATAATTTGTGTAAATTGGTATGTTTTAAGTTCACCCTCTTGTCTTGCAGTGCTCAGAAGAAGGTTGCAATTTCAGTGCCCATGAGAAGATTGTTCAGATACACTGGAAGAATGTAGGTAACCCTCTGGGCCCAAAATAGGAGTCTGTGCCATCTTTGCCATAGTCCCCTTACTCATTCTTCAGTGGTTTCCTTTCATTCACTTGGAAAGAAAATGTATGATTTCTCAGGAGAATCTGTTTCAAGACAATATCATGGATGAAAATTTGTTAAATACTATGGGATTTTCTTAATGGATTCATTTTATCATCTCTGTGTACAGTCTCACCAGTTTTGGAGATGAAAACAATGTGATACCACTATACCTGACATAGTGATGTTTTCTTTTTTAACTTGTGGTTTTTTTCCTTCCCCTTTTAAACACCTATGAAATACTTTTTCCTTAGGCACATGCACCTGGTGCCAAAAGAATAAAATTAGATAGTCCAGAAGAGATTGCTAGATGGAGAGAAGAAAGAAAAAGGTAAGACTTGTGGCCTATGGATTTGTTTTACTGTATTTTCCTTGTGGCAGCATAAGATGACAGCTGAAGGGCAGGAGCAGCACATAACTTGCTGTTTCTGCTGTTCCATTTACCCTATAAAACTCCTGCAGCAGTGATCTGTGTCAGAATGTATGAGCCAGGAGAGTGTGAGCTGCAGAGATGATAATACCTTAAAAGATTATAATAGAAGGCAAGGTATCAGCTCAGAGGGAAGCAGCTTTCCCAGATGCTTGATGTGGTGTCCCAGGTTAGGTGAATGCCTCATTCCTTTTAGCCTCACCACAGATCATATTTTAGGTCAGAAATGTTTGTGTAGTGGTTTTTAGTAGCTTAAAAATCCAGAACTATTGTACTGATTATAATTGTAATACTGTGTGCACATTTCCCCAGCTTAAGTTGTCCCAGTAGAACACACCAGGGAGTTTTCCTGATTTTTAAGGGCTTTCTGTGTTGCTCGATACTTTTCTAATGAAAGAGAGCAGAAACCATGAATGATGCTGTTCTCAGGTACTCTAACTTACATTTTATGCAGGATGCAAGGTAAAATTCTACTATAAGCAGTATTTCTCAATATTTCTTAGCCTGTGATTTAACAGGGTGTAACTTTTATCTTGACCAGGGTTGAAGTATTTATCTCCCAGATTTTTCTTCCTTCAGAGTTCAATAAATTAAAATCCACACTTTCCCAGCAGGAGAAAGATGCTACATGCTTTCCTCACATCTGTTGATAATTTAGAATATAGTCTTGCAAGTGATCAATGTGTGTTTTGTTTCCACAAGCAACAGTCCTGTATGCAGAATGGGAAGTGATATAAATTTAATTTTGAGATCAGTGGTGATAAGCTAGGGCTGTGAACTAGTCATGTGGAGTTTTTTTAGTAAAAATAAAACCCAGTGGTCTGATGGAATCCTACTGATGTATCCACCTTGCATCCATGTCAGAAGGCAACATTAATGTGTTCTTGCTTTGAGCTTCACTTCCCTTAATACATCTTTACACTGTTTTTGTTGAAAAAAGAAAAATGAATGGAAGTTATTATAGAATTCCCATCCATTTTTTCCTGGATGGTGAAGCAAAATTTATCCCCATGTAATTTCATTCTTGGAGGTTTTAATTCTTCTTTGGACATGGTTTCAGCTTTTTCTGCAAACTTCAGAAAGGCAAAGGGAAATCTTGCCACTCTGTTGGCACATCACAGAAGTCAATTCTTCTGTGAAGAAATGAACAGCACCCACTGTTCATTTTTCACAAATGAAAATAATCCACAGGTTCTTTAAAAAAAAAACAATTTTTTGATACAGAAACAAGTGATTATTTTCTCCCATTTTTAAAATGCCATCATTAACCAGAAAAAAAAAACTGGTTGTGATCTGTGCAAATATAAGTGTGATGTTAGATTAGGCAAGTTTTCTTACTAGATTAATTTTAATTCTAAGATTTCCTTTTATTCAAAAGATGCTTGAGGGCTTGGTTTTTATTTGCTTTCAGTCTGCATATTACTGTTGTGGGTTTTTTGTGACCTAGTTTTCTAATGGTAGGTCCAAGGAAGAAGATCCATACTGGTATGCAGTCTCCCAGAGAGGCTTTGCTACTCTTCTTCAACTTTTCATACACTTCTCTGTTTTGGGAATTGTTCAGGAGAGCTTCTGTTTAGCATCTGATGCTGAGGTTTAAGTGTTGAAATGATGTTTAAGGTGTTT